CGTGTTTTGAATTTTGTAACCCTTAATGTGATTTGTTTAGTTAAGTCAGCATGTTCCCCCACCCTGAGTTGTGTAACCCTTTATGTACCCCTGCCTTGTAACTGTTGAGTTGTGCTGAGTTGTTAGGAGCTAATACATGTACTTTTACCTTGTGACCACCGAGCTGCTGAGCTGTGCTTACTTCAGCAAAGATAACAGTATATAAACCCTTCGAATATGCCATTCGTGGCTGCTTGTTGGCCTACCACAACAGCCCCCTGTAGGTGCACCTGCAGGTGTATTAAATTCCTAATAAATTTCTATTAATTAATTACATCTGAAGTGGGGTCCAAATTTCTCTCTCATGCGTGAGATCATTGCACAGGGAACTCATGTCCACCAGAGCACACAGGGGCTCAATGATTTGGCCCTGGAGTCTGGCCAGTCTCCTCTCCAGGACTGCTGTGGTGGTCTTTGTTGGGATGGCCAGTTGAAATCATGAAGGACACACCATCCCAAAATATCCCACATAGGCTTATTGATTGATTATTTGAGTTAAAAACATTAGGGAAATTAGAGTTTCAGAAAGGGAAAGCTGATGTGTCTCTACCTGCATACAGTGAGCAACATAAGTTCTTCAGGGAGAGGTACCCTGTCCACAATGGAGTAAGAAAATAGGCTGTATCAGCAGAGACTTGAAAGTATAGGTTACAATAGACTTGAATAATGTGTTTTACAGCCTCCTCATATACTGCCCTAAAACATTCACTGCCCCAGCCAGATTTTTTTCTTTTTTTTTTGGAGACAGCATCTCGTGTTCTCACCCAGGCTAGCATGCCGTGGCATTATCCTAGCTCACAGCAACTGCAGACTCCAGTTTACGGGATCCTTCTGACTCAGCTTCTCAAGTAGCTGGGACTAAAGGTGCATGCAGCTCAGCTAATTTTTCAGTTTTTAGAAGAGACAGGTTCTTGCTCTTGCTCAGGCTGATTTTGAACACCTGAATTCATGTGATCCTCCCACCTCAGCCTCCCAGAGTGCCAGGATTACAGGCATGAGCCACTGTGTCCAGACTCCTCGCCAGATTCTGTACTGTCACTTTTTCCTCAAAACTATCACACTTTGTCATGGAAAAGGAGCAAACCTCTCCCATTGCTGGGTAGCTGAGGGAGATGCAAAGCAAGGAATTGAACCTGTAACATCCCTCTCACAGCAAATGCACGAACTTTCATCACTTCACCCTGTAATGCCTCAACCTTACTGTTAACAGAATAGGAACAAGGAAAGTTTCATGGAGATGGAAAGCGAATCCACCAGTTTGTGCGGGATCTCAGAGCCGTGAACCCTCTATGGTTCCCCACCATCCTGCCTGCCCCAGTCTAGCTACTATCCTTCCCTCAGTTCCTCCTGAGCAGCCAGGTTCATGGTCACTCAGCTTTCATTTCAATTACTCACACTTTTTTTCTCTATTTACCTGCAGAGGGAGGCAATTAACATGGACTCCATCCCTGGGGACACTGTTAGGCCCCTTCAATATTCTCTCAAATCCTTAAAGCAGACTTGGATTCTGTGAGCTTCACCCAAGGCTCCACCTTGGTGCTTTGTACCCAAACTGAACTGGGTGCCCTACAGACCCTCTGGTTCTGGTTGAAGAGGCCATAAAGCCTCCAGATCTAAACTTCAACTAGTGCAAATACTCATTACTTACTTGGGCCAGGAAATATCTCAGGGCACTCAAGAACTCACCCCAAAATGACTTGAATCAATTTTATCCATCCCACTCCCTAAAAGGAGAAAGCAGCTATGGAAATCCCTAGGGACAGCTGGCGATTGCTGGCAGCAGAGTCCTACTA